AGCTCATCATCAAGCTCTACAGAAGCCTGATAACAATCCTGATCATTTGAATCAGGTGTGTTGAAAGAGGGAAACATCTAAAAAATGCAGGACTGTGGCCCTCGAGGACCAGGATTGGACACCCCTGCCTTAGTGTAACACCTGTTTCGAGTAATTATGAATTGTTATGGATGAATTCAAAGCAGATAATAATGGACCAGTGTCAGAAGATCCGTTGGAACGACTGGAGCCTTGAGTGAATGAATGACAATAATGAACACCACACACAGTAATGGCATATGAATGATTATATTGAAAAAATAGGAAATGTCACAGTGTGAATTTCAAATACCCAAAACAAATAAAATTAGACAACTTAAGTGTGCACACTAGAAAAAAAAAGAAAAAAAAAGTTCTTTCTGTCCTTTACTGAAAGAATAAAGAAAATGTTGGGGCCCAGGGTGTGTGTATATCCATTCAATGAGGTCCAATGAGTCAGTGTATAGATGAGTGCTTTCAAACCAGACTGGATCGCTCTATCTCACTCTCCCCCGGTCTAGGATCTCCAAGGTTGGTGGCTCGCCTACCAGCTCACTGGAACTTCTGGTCCTGCTCTGTTCTGTCCAATTCCTCCCTTCATAAAAACCTGACCTGATGGATAAGGTCATAACATTTCCCTCAGATTACTATTTCTTACACTGGTATCTGATCTAGTCAACAAGATATACAACATCAAACTATAACCCAACATCATCTCTTATTGTATCTTATACTGTATATCAATAGCATTCTTAACAGTTATCATAAAGTACATAAATATACAATTGCATGACTCAGCATTAAACCAGTTAAATTACAATATTGCAACACTAAGGCTTAAATGAATTGCGTGCGTAATTTTCCTCATTTGCCAAAGGCCTACTGGTAACATAGAAAATACACTAAAAATTCAGCCTCAGCTTTAACAACTTGTAACTGCTCTCAAACTACACATTCTATTAAACAACATATACTTTTATTAACATTTCAACATTCCCTCTGATAACCAAGGTAAGAAATAGCTTGTAGCTTAAAGTTGATGCTAACATTAACGCTCGTCATCGTTAGCCGTTAGCGCCGCTTCGCGCTAGCTCAAATGCTAATAGCCGAATTTGCACACGAATGCGGTCATTACGTGACTTAACTAGCGACTTTCAATGTTGTCCAAGCTAAACATGTTCCCTCTACCCTGAACTCACCGTTGAAAAATCATGTACATGCATGTAATACATCTTCAGGCTGCCAATATCGTGTCTCATTTTTAGCTAAGGCCTTACATCAGTCAAGCTAGCAGGAAAAGAGTGACAGTAACTAAGGGAAACGTCTGGAACAAAGCTGAGCAGCCGTCCATCCTGATTGGCTTCAGTTAAGATGATCCCGCCTCCTCAAAATACGGCAAGCCAAGACAATCAAAATTCCAACATTCAACACATTTCTAAATACATCTGAACTAAATGATGAATACAGTTACCTAATAACATTCCACTATTTATCAATTCCTCCATATTCATAACTTGTGTTACACCAGCAACAAGTGCAAATTTCCCCCAAACGCTGCCAGTGTAATAAAAACACAAAAAATACCACAGTACAATGTACTCTTTTACACTTTTTTCATACTACACGTATTTGCTTTAACAGTAGCACATTTGTCAGTACTTCAATCCGTTGATGTTAGTTTATTAATACAAAAACACAACCCTAGTTGTAAACCCCAAGAAGAACTACATATTTCATGGCATGTCCAATCACGTTGTATTGTAACGCTACTGGAAGTTGTAGTTCTTTCTTCAAAATAGCTGTTTCTCCTAAATGGAGGCTGAAATATAAAACTTTAGGTGCATTAAGGGGTTTAAATTAATGAGGAACATGTTTATTTGAACTGACTTTACAAAAGAAATTGATATGCATAAGTGAAATTACATTTTTTTTACCACATTTTGTGATGCCCCTGCTGGTGAGAACATCAGGCAACAGCCGATATGACAGCAGAAGTCAAGAGCTTTGTATAACAGTTGGTCCCATGATTCTAGCCCCTTTCATTGTTGAATTAGAAGCTTTAAAAGATGCACCAAAGTCAAAGTTCAAAGGTCAATATCTCTGAGCAAGAGCAACTTTGAGCTTCCAGACTGATGTAATCTTACTCCCCTGATCAAGTCCTTTCCAATGATGTATCATGTTTAGTCCTATGACAAAGGTTTCATTTCCACCCCTCTGGACCCAGCCCTGTGTCAGGTGTAGTTTTCTAGGAGATGTGCAAAGCTCAGTTGGATAAAATGAAATTAAAATAACTTTGTTAAACATAGTGGGTAAATTCATCGATGACAGCTTTTTTTTGACTAACTGGAACCCATGGGTGTCATTTTTTGGCCTCGTTAAAGATGTTTTTCCCGGTTAAATCCTGTTTCATACTCTTCTAACCCTAACATTGAGGACATCCTTACCGGCTGCTTTATCTCCTCACAAAAACAATTTGAGGGTTACACTCATTCATGTGCTTTAACAGCAGTCCTATGGCTATATGGCTATACAGTATGTCATAATGATAATAACAATAATAATAACTTTATTTGTATAGCACCTTTAAGAACAACATTTCACAAATTGCTTTTGTGACATCAGTCCAAACCTAAAAACAAAAATAGAGACTTACTCATGGCTCCTACAGTTTTATTGACTAAAAAAGTTTCATGTTCTTCAAATATGACAACCTCTCTGTGTGTCGTACAGCACAAACTCAAGCTGTACATAATATCTGACCCACGCTGGACGTCCAGCTGTGTGACCCTTGGATGTAACTCACAGGAATTCTTTAGAAATGCAATCAATAGCATTCTTTACATTCAGCACACATTCTCCGCAACTCCCCTTTTTGTAGCATAATTTGGACGATGAATTTCAGACAAAAGAGCTGTTACACAACACGGGACCCCTGCAGTCCGCTCGGCCTGGCAGTCTGCCAGCGCTGGTGAAGTTTGTGAGCACACTGGGGGGACACGTTATACGCACGCTGTGTCGAGTATGTTGCACTGTGTGTACAGCAGGTATTATGTAAAGGTGGTTGAGCCAAGAGTAAATCACTTTTACATTTTGCATGCTGCTACCGGAACAATAAAGTGACTTCAGCAGCAACAAATCAGAGAATCAAGCGTCTGATTTAGCTGAAGTGTCTAATTAAGAGACTAACCACCATCGCTTTCACTGATAAAGCCTTGAAGATTAGTTTTGGATTTTTTTCTTTTCTTTTCATGATATAAAGCGATTTCATCTTCCCGCATCAAAATTGAGTGATCAGACAAAATGATATGAATGTTCAGAGAAAATGATGTAAACTTAGTCTAATACGGTGATAAATATCTGTTTAAAAACTGACACGTGTGACCTTCGTTTGTCTTTATTTGTTTGGCAATTACTTTTTTTAAAGGCCCCCCAAAATCAACTGGATTAGATTTTATACAGATCAGTTCCTCTCATTCACACTCACACACCTCATCCCCTGATCATCCGAAGCAATTTTTGATTTTATTGTCTCACCACTTCAACATGCAAAGCTGGAAACTGTGATTAGTGGACGTCCAGTTCTACCTGTCAAACGCTTAAAGATTTTAAAAAGAGTTTTGAATGTTAAACAAGCAGCTCGAGGTTCCTTTCTCTGCAATATAAAGCACCTCTATGGAAACAGCAGCCATGACTAGAAGTCCTAGAAAACTCATTTCACAACGTTACAAAAGAAAATCTACAATACTGTTACCACTACTTACTATTTGTTTCTACTATATGTCTCCTCTGTACTGATTTTTTACATTGTTATATTATTACATGGCTGTTGGTTACAGCTGAGTCACTGATGTCGTCATAGTTGCACCTCAGAGCGCAGAATTTATTGATTTTACAGAATCCTGTCAAAGTAAATGGTTTATTTTTTGGCAAATGTTTAGATTTGACAAGAAGAACAAAGTGATTTTTGCTAAAATAGTCAGATTTTAAGCTTACATTTGGTTAAATTTCCAAACAGATAGCCACATCACAGAACATTAGTTCAGAAGACATCAGAATGTTAAAGATCTTTTTCTCTGTTTCAGTTTCTGTCTCTGATAAATGGTGTAATTTTATTTGTTCGATGTTTTTTGTTGTTCTTCTTTTTTAAAGATCACATGACTTCCAAATCTACTGGAGGTTCATAAATGTTTAACTAAGCAGGTTGGCAGGTTTTAGCATATTTAAACATGAGTCTGTAATGATATTTAGAAACACTTAAAGCTTTGAAACCATGTTTTCAGGAGCAACATTCTGTAAATCAACAATCATTTACTGTCTTCACTGGTTTCCTGGTGAAATCAAGACTCCAGGAAGTTACTACACCTGCCCATCAAATATACTTGCACATAATAGGATGTCATTTTGATTATTTTCTTGACATTTTTATGTTCTATATGGAGTAAACAGAGGTGGTATGACATGTCTCTTAGTTGTCTTTAGAGGTGCTAGTAGACACATTTGTTTGGCATTGTTCTCAGTCATGGCATCTAGCTGTAGCTCATATTTGTACCATGCACACATGACAGTACCTTCAGTACTAACTCTAAAACCAAAAAAAGCACATAAGCATGTTTCCCGAAATGTCAACTTATTTCAATAATTTTACTGGCAAATATAAAACATTTTGAATGAACACCAAAAACATTTTGTTCTGCTAAAATTAAAAATCATTTCCACTCAATTGAGTCCATGTGACATCTGTTTTTTTCGATTAATTTTCCGTTTTTTGGAATGTGTCTGTGCAGCAGCTATTATTTGTTCTGTGAACCTCTGCAGAGGACCACTTACGGCCTTACAGCTGGACATTGTGTGCTGCAGAGAAGCGCCTACTCAACCTCCCATCACCCATTATGGTGGGATGAGTCACTCAAACCCCATGCCTGATTTCATTTACCGGCTCACGTGCGAAAATCTGTCTCACTTCCCCTCCACGTGAACCCCTCATGTGAGAGGAAACGTTTTCCCAACTCAATCACCCATTTTATATTAGATCAAAGCGTTATCAGCTCTGTCCTCCAGACATGACCAGCCTGTGTGCGGTTTCTGGTTATTAAAGGCTCAAACGAGCAAACATTTTCTTGATCTGCCGGATCATGTGAGTTATGATGCATTTAGATGCTAAGCACAAATATGACCTGCTTTTCATCATTTAATTACGGTTAAAGACGGGAAATATCGTGAATTATAATCCTTTTCAATCAACTTGAGAGCTGTTTTAATTAGCTTTTTATGTACAGCACACACTCACATTCTGTATTATGTCGGCTGAAAAGAAAAGAACCGCAGAGATGACTATTTACACACTTGTAAGAAGAGAAGTGGAAGATCCTGTCAGTGTCTTTATAATAAATGTTATCTAGTATATAGAGCTCCATGTCAACATGTCAACAGATAAGCTATTACTTTGAATCCAGTTATTCTCATATGATTATTATACACAACAAAGAGCAACTTGTCAAACAACAAGATGCAACGAACTCAACCTCCCTGTGTTGAGTGACAGTTTGAAGACAAATACAATAAATAGGCCTTAAAGTAAGACATGCTGAAGTTATTTGTGTGCAACAGGCTTTACATGAGTTCGGTTCCTGTAGTAGCAGTTAGATAAGCCATTAAACCCTTACATGAAAAAGCACCAAGTGCTACTGAACTTTGAACCTTCACTGCTTTCACCGCTGGGGAGGTGAATTATGGTTACTGTGTGTACACACCGAGACTTTATTTGGAAAGCTGCTGAGCAGCGCAGCGCTGCAGGGGGTCCTTAAGTCTTTGCGGGAGAGCTTAGCAAAGGCAAAAGGGCACGAGGAGAGGGATAGCTGACATTTTTGAACAGTTAACACATTTTTTATTTAATAATCTGTTTAACGAGAAAGCTCATTGGGCGGCTCGGTTTGTTTTACAGTTGGTACATTCCAGACCCCCTGCGTGAATCCTTTATTAGGAAATTAAAAGTCATTTTCAGGTTGACAAAGTCTGTAATGCCACAAGTTAAGAGTCCAGGTGGGAGTCTGGCTCAGCTGAAACTGGGGACATTAAATTCTTGGTGTTCATGTGACAAAATTCTGAGCTTTGTTTTTTCCACGTACATCAGAATTACAAAGTCGAAACACAATAATATATTTATGTGCTTGTTTGCACGTTTACTGCTCACTAACAGAGACACAGTCAGATAGGCAGGAGAGACAGAGACGAGCAGAAGTTGGGAAAACATGCCAA